CAAAATAGCCTCTGCCATTTCTGCCAGGTCACCCACAAGCAAACAGAGGTTTGAGGGCTGAACAGCAACAGGTTTCTAAAATGGGAATTCTCACCAAAGCCTTGGTCCCACTCAAGACATCCAGGAACAGCTGCTGAACCTCCGTGTCGGTCAAGTTCACGATATCGGCCTGAGAAAAATCAAGCTTGTGATTTGAAACCGGTAACGCGATGGCCTATCTCTCTTGCCTATAAATCCCAACATTAATTTATAGATATTAATACAAGGAGGTTTATGGTTTATGGTTTAATTTATTTGTATGCCGCCCTTTTCCCTAAAGGGACTCAGGGCGGCTCACAACTCAAAAGGGAGGGGAAATACAAACAGGTTTCCTGTGTGTGGTAATAATCACTTAACAACTGTGGCAAGAAAGGCTACAGAATGAGGCAAAAGTCACTTAACAAATGTCTCACTTAGCAACAGAAATTTGGGCCTCAATTGAGGATGTAGATCAAGGTTTGTCGTAACTTCAAGCAATCGCTAAACAACCTGTTGTTAAGCGAGGACTTAGTTCTTTTGATGAAATTTCTCTCTGGCCCTACAGTGTTTTAAGACAGGCAGCAAGAGATTCCGTGGCCCTTACGTGGCTGGTGGAAACCACAAGCAGCATTCGCCAAGCGGAGATCAGCATCTGGTACTCGGTCACGGAAGCGCAGCGGCTGCCCTCCGTCTCGGCCACGTGGAAGGCCAGGGACTTCACGTAGCCCGACCAGTAAGCAAAGCGCTTCTCGGCTGAAAACTTCTTGAGTGTGTCCTTCAAGGACTGGTCCAGAGACCCCCTGCGGGTCACAGAGACACAATTAGAGGATTTCTCCCTTGGAAAAGCATTAGGATCACAAGCGGAAGGGTTGAAACTACATTGCTGAGAATGGAAAAATAAGATTCTTAATGCAAATTTGCACGAGGGAGCTTCTAAGGGAGCTCGGATATCAAACATGGTGAAGGTTCCAGCATGAGTAGCTGAAAAGAGCACTGAAAAATTTAAGTAGTGCATTGCAGGCTAACTCTGCGCACAGCCTGGAGAGTAATTAATCGGTGGAACGATCCAGAAGTTGTGGATGCTCCAACACTGGACAATTTTAAAGAAGGGACTAGAAGACCTCCTAGGTCCCTTCCAATTTTGTTATTCTGTTATATTCTCAATTGTAACATCTGTAAAGACCCGTGTACCCTCTTCCTAGGCTGATTTTCTTCTTCATTCATTCTATTCATGTCACTTACTTGACCACGGAATAAATCTCCAGGCAAATGATTTTCATTATCAAGGCACAGGTTTCCAAGACACTCAGCTGCAGACAGAGAAAGGAACACAAGAATTGTGTTGCTTTTTTAAACCTGCAATTTCTGGCAGGTGACCATTAAACAGAGAGCGGCAACTTCCAACCACCCAGGGATTCTTTGCCTTTTCTTTACATCAAGGGCATTCCCGGCCCAGAGGCAGAGGAAGCCACGGGTTTCAGAGCGACCAAGGGGGCTAAACTCTGCCCCATTTCCTTACCTCAGATGTTTCGGACGGTGGAGGAAGGATTCCAAACAACGGGTTGGTTAAGTTTCCCCAAAACTTTGGCCTAGAAACACACAAAATGCTGTAGGTTTTTTTCCCCCCTCCTCTTCCCCTCTTTCTCCTCTGCTGCTTTCTCATTATGTTCATTTTTCTGAATTTTACATTTTGATAAACTAATGAAGTTCGCCGTTTGAAGAGGAGAGACAGAGGCACAGACAGACAGAGAGAGGGAGGGAGAGAGAGAAAGAGACAAAGAGAGAGGGAGGGAGAAAAAGAGAGAGAGAGGGAGAGACAGAGGAAGAAGAGAGGGGGGGGAGGGAGGGAGGGAGAGATGGATGCACTCACTTGTTCCTGAGGACCAGCATGGCGCTGTCTCGGCGGTCCTGCCACAGGGCGTGGAGAAAAGCAACGGTGGCTCGTTGCAGGAGGGGGGGACACCAATAGCGCTCCTGCTGTTTTGAGTCAATCAGCTCCAGGACCACGTGAAGGCAGCTCCATTCCCCTAAGCTGAACTCCTGGAAGGGAAGAGGGAGAGGGGAACACATCCAGGTCCCGACTTTGGCTACAAAAGCTGAATTGATAGCTGACGGTTAAAAAACCCCTTGAACCCCAGCACGGACTACTTCAGCCTGGTGATAAGAGGACAGTTGTCGTCCTAAGTCAAGAACCACCTTTGCTTTTTCCCGTGTCGGCACAACTGAAACGGCCCGTGAAGATGTTTGCTTATGTTTCCTATTTCTTAATTTCTCAGCCACACCCCCAAGATTTTAATCAGAGTTTGTTCCACAGGTCTGGCTCTTCATTCATTCACACAGCCCTGAAAGCGTGGAAATAATGGAGATCACAGCCGGCAGGGGAAAAGTTTTGAAACGAGCTGCCAGAGAGGTTGTGTCAAGGACCGTTGTGTTGCTGGAACAACACAAAGGTTTTCCAAGTTGTGGAATTCCCAAAAAGTCCTGACTGACAGGCAAAAGCTCCAATGACAGAAAATGGGTAGCAAAATAGGAAAGTAACTCTCTTTCTTAGGATACTTTGAAAAAACCTTGGGCTGCTTACAGGTAGTCCTTGACTTATGAGCATTCATTTAACAACTGTTCGAAGTTATGACAGCACTTTGAAAGGTTATTTAGGACTGGTCCTTGCCCTTACAGCATCCCCACAATCATGGCCTGGGGGTTTTTCAAGTAGCATGTATCTGCAATTGTCCTGTGCTAGCCACCTGCAACTTCCAAAAAAGTCAACAGGGAAGCCGGATTTGCTTAATGATGTGATTCACTTAACAACGGTGTCCAAAAAGGGTTGTGACAGTCAGACCTGGCTCACTGAAACGGTCACATTATTTAGCGAGGGCAATTCCAGTCCCAATCAAGAGCTGCAAAATCAATTTGCATTTCATTCTGTTAATTGATGTAATTACCTTGCAGCCCTCGCTCCCGTCTTTCACTTCCAGGTTAAGAAACAATTCGATCAGGCCCGGCTGGGTTTCCACGGCCACCGTGAGGAAGTCGAGGATCATGACTTTGATGCGCATGTCCTCAATTCTGCTCTGCAAGCGGGTCAGGAAGGCATCGCGAATGGCAGAGGCGTCACTGCCCAGGCAGGCGTAGACAGACATCGGAGCCACCTAAGGAGGGCCAGGGGGTGGGGGGTGGGGAGGAGGGAAGATAAGGAATGGAGGGCATAGATGCCATGCACCCAGTGCCCCACAGCACGGGAAGGGCGCACTGCCCCATATAGTTTATTACAGGGTTCATTGTAACGCAATGTGATTCTCAACGAATGTACGATGTGTGGACTTCGACCTGACCATCATCTCAACTGGGCTTGAGATGCAAAGAATCAGGATCGCTCGTTAAGTTCCGGTTAAGAACCCAAAGGTGCTTTTTCCAATAGGCAACTGGACTTTCTTGGGGTTTTTCCCCCCCCCCTTGAAAACGTTAAGTTCATTAGTTAGTTAGTTAGAAGTGAAGAAGCTTCTTGAACGAGAAGTGAAATGTTTTCAAGGAAGAAAAAACAGAGAGAGCCCAGTTGCATTCTGGAAAAATTATAACCTGAATGACTGAGAATCTCCACAGGGTTCCAGTTGAGATGATTTATTGCTCAAACCTGTACACAGGAATACTAAATTCGGAAGATACAGAACCAGGCAATACACTATTAAATGGGAATGGAGGGAAAGAGGGGGAAAAACAAAAAAGAAAATACTAAATATACCAGTATATATTCAAGAGTGAGATATAAAGGGGGGAAAATATAGGGTAGATTAGCAAAGGGAAGGAATAAGAAATGATACTAAACTATATTGGATTGGTGGAAATACCATCCCAAGAAAACATAAATTGAGATTTGAAAGAGACACCTATTATACAACAACAGAAAAAGGGAGAGAGGAAGAGGAGAGGAGGGTGGAAGGGAGAGAAAGAGAAGGAGAGACGGTAGGAAGGGGAAGAGTAGGAGTAGGGGAGAGGTAAAGGAAGAAGGGGAAGGAGAGGAGGAAGGAAGGAAGGAAGAAAAGAAAGGGAAAATAAGGTGGTGTTAAAACAGATGGGATGGTAAATAAAGCAACAAACTCTATATTATAACCTTTTAAATGGAATAACAAATGTATAAGTATGATAAATGTAAAAAAGAAGAAATGTGAATATATACCTAGAATAAAAAATAAAACTTTTCAGAAAATAAATAAATAAATACTAAATTCGGACAGCAGAACTCAAAAAGAAATCGGACGTAGAGAGTTTGTGGGAATGCAACAATTCTAAGCTAGTGACTTACTTAACTCCACCCTCTCGGCTCTGCCTGCTCTTTTCCCACAACAAATTGCACAACCACTGAAGTTTGACCCACTACCACTAAGAAGTCGCTGGAAACCCCGCCGCGTCACTTGGCTGGGCCAGGTCCGAGAGCCAAGGCCAGCAACGGAGGAGGGTGTCAGAAGAAGAAAAAGGAACACTTACCGTTGCCAGCCGCTTCAGGAGCTGGATGGCTAGTCGTGGCAAGGCTGGGTCATGTTTATGGTAGATGTACTTGGCTAAGACAGCGATCAGATTGTTCCGGTGGGCCCCTGGGTTTGGGAGGGCAGAGAGTAAAGCCGCATGCAAATAAAGCATTGGTCAAGAGGCAACTGATTTTCTGCACGGGGTAAGCAGAATCCAAAATCAGTTGAAAACTAATGCGAATCCTGCGCGTTAAGCGCAAATGGTTGGTGCGGAAGATAAAGCCGTTCCTCAAAGGGCAGCGGGAAAGGACCTACCGTGCTGAGTCAGGGCGTGTTCCAGAGGCGACACAACGCTGGAGGGAGGCTTCAACCGGATGACGTTGTTGGTGACGGAGAACGCCAGTTTCACCGTCTGGATCAGGAGCTGGCCCTGAGACTCCCCATCGCTGCGTTGCCAAGAAGAAGGACCGCGTTAAAACCCGTCCTGATTCTGCTCAGAATTGCACCAGCAGCCAAAGGACATGAAATCGCCCACCTGTGGCCTTACTCCCAAGTCGACCCCTGTTCTTTAGCTCTTCCCTTCGTCTGGCCACTCTGTGCATGCGCACACTGGGAACAGGCTCCAGCTGTTCTGCTGCCTCACTGATGTCTGATGGAAGCTGATAACTGTCAGACGGCTCTGGCCCCCCTCTCTGCCTCCGACACAGAGCCCTCCTCAGAGCCTTCCTCAGACTCCAGGACTGGCCCATCTTCCTCTCCAACCTCCTCACTGTCCGGATCCACT